TGTGTGTGTGTGTGTGTGTGTGTGTGTGTGTGTGTGTGTGTGTGTGTGTGTGTGTGTGTGTGTATATATAGGTGTGTATATATACATATATATATATATATATTACAATAATAACGTGCTGCTGAATAACAACATGTATGACACACATGCACGCTACAGTTAAAATCCCTGCAATTATATCGTTTAACAGATATTAACTCACACTCCTGTGCACTTATATACATAACCCACTGCGCCACAACAGCTGATATATTTCAACATATACATTAAGCTATAAACTTGCCATGGAAAAATACTACCCACCAGTGTGTAACAGTAAACAAATCACATTCTGGACGATATATATGTACCTCCGAAATGAACAATCTAACTCGTCATGTAAAACATATATATACACTTCAAAGTATAGTATACATAACCCACTATGTCGTAGCTGGAAGTCGTCTGGAGTCCCCAGGTCATCGCAGAGCGCCTCGGACAAGCTCTCCTGCACACTCTCCTTAGTATCAACATCTCCTACATTTGCATTCAGACTCGTACGACTTCTATTTGTATCTGAGCGATTGTTTCTCAGCTTGTCGGGTTTAGTCTCTACTGTGCGTGTAGCTTTGCCAGTGCTGCCAAGGTGGTGGCCTGCAGCGAAGTGGTGACTGCCAGGCATTTGCTGGTTACCAGGAACCTTGGCACGCGAGTGGTGATTGCCCATCTTGGTGCAATGAGGTGGTACTTATATATTAGGTATATTGTGTACTGTACACTGAAAGTAACTATATTCAGTGTAAACTTCGTATGGTTCGCGGTTGATTCTAAATTATTGTCTCGTATCCAGGTGTCCTAGATAACACACTACAGAGATAGCGTTACGTTTTTGAGGATTTAACTCCCTGGTAATGTATGCTTCATATCACAACGTGCTATAACTACGTACGTGGCTGACCAGCAACCGCTAGTCTACATGCAAGACTTATTTCTGACAATCCAATTTGGCAATCAACCCAAGTTCGCGGTCAACCCGTTCACAATATCAGTTCAATAAGACCCTTGCGAATCGTACCTTAGTGTATATAAACACCATACGACTATTCTTCGCAGTATACTTCAGAGTTTTAGGTGTGATTATATCCTGCACTCTGCGATATGGATCTACTGAGTGTGTAAGTAAATATATTTGGGGTGAACCTCGTTGAGATACATCAATATAAAATATCATCATTCTGCTGAAATGTGTATTTAGGTATTATATTTATACACATTTCAAAAAAATCAGCTTCAAAAAATCAGCTTCGATCATCATGGGTCATAGGAACTCAGAACTGAGAACTGCAATCATCAATATTTATTTATTTACAGAAAAATAAATAGTATCTATTGAGTGAAGTAAATTTTTCTTTTCTTTTGTTTTTTTTCAACAACAAAAACAAATTATAATATTAGAAAAAGTGATGAACAGTCCAACAGTCCAACACAGGACGACAGGGGGGGGCGGGGAGGTGGTCTGTGAGACTGTGAGACTGTGAGCCCCCCTGTGAGCCCCCCTGTGAGCGCCTGAGGGCAGAGGCCTGAGGGCAGAGGCCTGAGGGAGGCCCTAAAAAATAAATTTTATGTTTTTTTTTACTTTTCTTTTTACAATTTAGTTCACATATACAATATATTTCATTTTTAACGGTGAGTGACCTTTGGAGTACATGAAAGTATTTTGTATAGAAAAAAAAGTACTAAAATATTATTTTTTTATATGTACTGAAGCCACCACTCCTTGTACCAAATACGGTATAAATATACTCTGTAATTATATGACAAAATATATGATTCACCCGTCCCTGACACATCAACAGATGTTCCCCATACCCCGGCTAATCACGCTGTTGAAATACTACTTCCAAATATCGGTTCAAACCAAATCATCGCGCTTGTTGGTTCCGACTATGATACTTCCGATTCAGGCCAGCCAACACATACCGAAGTCATCCGTGGTCTGGTACGGCATTGGCTTACCCCCATCCTCGCTTCTCGACCGGATTATGGGATTATGACGGATAACCTGGTCCTTCTCGGTATTTCGTACTCTGCACTAACCCATTCCGCGGCACTACACGGCGCAGACCCGATCCGTACCACAGAGGTGGTTACTCTACTTAGTAGGTCAGCAAGCGAATATATGGAACATTCGATAGTAACAGTATTTTGTCAACACCGGCCCGAATTGACTCAGCACATATCTTCCATTGTCGACTCACTTGGCCCAAGCTTCAAACGGGAAATTACTGACCACTTCTTCCCATTAATCTTTCCTGAACCACTACAGCGACTATGAGAGCCATTCCATATGTTCATACATTGTATCATACATACTTGCCATTTTTGAAATAAATAATATTATCCCTAATGACATGTGAAATAGTATATAATATTCTCGCGAAGACGCAAACATGTCATATCTTGATCTTCTCCTTCTGTGCTGCTAAGCTGAGCTCTTGTCTTTCACACCCATACACAACACAAGAAGAAGGAAGACTGAAAGCGGGGGTGTGCAATTGTGCATCTGCAGCGCACAGTCGCACACACCCTTCAAGGGCTTCACACGAGAAGAACCGAGGGGGCTTCATTGGCTAATGACGTCATTTGCGGATGAAGCCCGCATACAATTGGACAGTTTTAGCTACGTCTTTGAATTTCAGGATGGTTGATTTATTATCACTTAAATATCAGGGCAATTATCAAACTATCACTGGGCCCTGGGGTTCATAAAATATCCATATTAGGATTTTATAAAATGGCGCGTTAATATCCTACTACACTGTGCATAGCCTCCTAAATATTTTTAGGAGGCTGTGCAATATGTTTTTAATCTTTGAGATTTTTTTTATTATGCGTGCGAAGCTCCGCCCTCCAGATTGAGGGCCTTTTGGAGGACGTAGCCCTCCTGACTCTTAGTCAGCGCAGCGCCGCGTGTGTCATAACTCTCTGCACAACAATAAATAAACAAACAAAACTTGGTAGTCACATTAATCCAAATTAGCAGCTCATACACTATAGATAGCATAGAATACACTATTATGTTCACCACATATTCCACTATCATGCACAAAGCAGAGACGGGAGAAGAATTTCAAGGACTATAACTACCCCAACTCTAAGGGTAATTGTAACTGCATTAAACGATGGAGCTTACTGAGGAAAGGCGCAAGGTTGGTTCAGGAAGTTATCGTTGTGGACAAAGTGCCCTAGGCGGATATTTAGAACCGGACCAGAGGACCGGACTAATTAGTGGAATAGAGAATTTAATGAGATAGAAGTGATGACTCATACAAAACCATAGAGACGGGTATTTTCACATAACCCGATGGTAGAGAAAGTCTCGTTCCTTATAGGATCGTGCTTAATAAATATAGCAGGCGCGTCATTTCCAATTGCACTTCTGACTGGGTTCACTTATT